ATAAGACAATTAAAAGCGGCTATTTTTTAATACCAATTTTTCAAAACTGTTGTCAAATAACGTTTCTATCAACATACTAATGGATATACTAATACTTTTTTAAACATAGTTTTTTGGGGGCTTTTTCCTTTTTATTGGATAGGACAGCTGAAGATAGACAGGAAAGGGGGTAGAGAGAGAGGGGATGACACGCAGCAAAGGGCCACAGGTCAGATTCAAACCCAAGTCTCTCAGCTCTACCAGATGGGCTCTCCAGGCATCCCTGAAAGAGGATTTTAAAGGTCCGATGTGTAACATATAAAGGGATCTATTGTCTTGTGTTTCTGTAACCTTGGAATCCATGGTTGTGGAATCATCACGAGGAGGCCGCCATGTACAGTAGCCCAGAACGGACAAACCAAACACCGGCTGTAGATAGGGCTGTTTGCGTTTTCCACATTATTTTGTTTGAGGGTTTTTTTTTTTTTCAAGGCAGGAGAGGTGACTGAAACCAGGAGAGAGGGACAAAGTTTGGACGTTGTGGTTACTTGAGGACTAAACAACCAGGACTAGTCTAATGAATGCTATATTCTGATGTGTCATTACAGAAACAGAATTGGGTGGATGCTATCTGTCAAAATGTCCTCAAGCTGTGTAGTGCACTTGGTCAGATAACACAAACAGCTATATCTTAATTTTATTTAGCTAGAATTTAATTACATTTTTGTTAATATATGAAAGACAGTACAGATTTTTGTATTGGATATTTTCACAATTACCAGTGCCATTAGCTCTTTCTCTCTCTAGAGGTTGGAGTGACAAAGTAGTTGAACTCTGTCCTATTTAAATTTTCGTTTTGATTTAGATAATAGATTATTTACCTAATTTGTTATGTTTATGGCAAAGAAAATCATAATTCATGGGTGTATAGCCAATTAAATTTGAGCTGTTTGAGTCTTTTAAAACAGCACATAGTTGATGTAGTTTCTCTTAATATAGTGAACCAGTCTCTTCAATCACATTTTAAGGAGACTGAAAATGTTATATAATCCTGGCTGGGAAAAAATCACCAAAAAAAAGCTAAAGTTGGCAGTTCCATCCAAAACTACTGAAGCCACACCGATGAACCACAGTTCAGGTCTGTAGTCCAGATACTGTATTATTGATAGTCAGGTAACATAAAAAGTCACCTAATATTATTTTTGTGCAGACGTGGCTCCGGGATGCTTTGACATTGTGTTTGTGTAGCGCTGCCGAGGAAGGCCATTAAAATATAGCTCACAGTTTAAATAGTGTAAATATTCCCAGACATTTGAAAATGTGTCCCGTGGGTTTTGTTGAACTTTCAGCCAGCTTCAATGAAAGAAACGTATTCTTCTCCTTCCTGCTGCATGTCAGGCGTTAAGGCCTTTTCAAGTTGTGCTTCCTTTGCACACTCATTCATTTATAGACTCTCCTTTCCATACATTCAGCCTGAATTCATATGAATTATTCAACTCAACTACAAAAACCCATGTTCATTATATCAACTAATTAGTGTAGCACTTATGTCTGCTGTGGACTGCACAGTCTTCTTGAACTTTGCATAAAGGTACACTCTTGTCCCCATACCAGTCTGTTCTGTTTGTATCAGCAGTCATTGTTTACCTGCACCAATGCCAACAAGACAAATTCCTGTAGATTTACTTTCTTGGCAAATCGAGTTATTCTGATTCAAGGAGGCAGTCCTGTCACAAGGTTTCCTGACAGTCTGCCACTTCTGAGCGTCGAGTTGAAATGGAAAGGTAGATATAGGCGGTACTGTGGGCGCCACTACAAAAACTAAAAAAGCACTGTTGGATCCTTTTGTATTTCCCCAGGCCAGTTGGTTTTAATAAAGACCGACTGCATACTAAATCTACCTTTGCTGGTGGCAACTGCTCGCTCTCTCTCTGTGTGCTCTGTTTGCATTCAATTTCAATTAGCAAATTGTAGAATGCGTAAGTAGATAGTAGATCATTAATAGTCTATAACAATAATCTGACAAAGTGATTGATTGTGAAGACAAATCTTTCTCCTTTTTAACATTCTTTTTAGTTTTTTTCCTCCCCTTCATCTTTTTTCCCTCTTCTGCCTCACTCTTGTATCTTCTAACTCACTCTCTCTATCTCACTCTTGTGCCTTCTCTCTCTCTCTCCTGCATCTTCTTATTCTCTCTCTCTCTGCGCTCCTGGAGCGGGGGATGCCAGGGGGACAGAGTGCAGATAGGACCTGTCTCCATAGCAACAGCTTCTGCAAGCTGCTGACACCCTACTGGGGGGGCTGAGGGGAGGAGAGGTTGTGATGGGGAGGAATAGTATAGGGGTTGGGGCACAGGGAAAGGTGTGTGTGTCTGTGTGTG